CAAAACTAAACAATGACTTGGAAGTCCTGGCCCTGGCTTTCAGGGCTACTGTGAACTTGCCCCCTTTCCATCTCTGAACTCCTCCCACTCTCCCCTCCCCTCCATCTACTCCAGCCGTGCTGGGTTCCTTGTTTCTTCAACAGGTCAGGGGACATGACTGTAGGGCCTTGGCACTTTTCATTCCCAGCGTGGGAAATCCTCTGCCTCGAGATATCTGTGCAGGTGACACCTTGCTTCCTCCAGGTCTCTGCTCAAATGCCACCCAATCACAGTCTTTCTCCGACTCTTCTATTTACAATTGCGTGTGTGCATGTGTGCGCACACACACATCACTCTTCATCTACTTACCAAACTTTGTTTTTCTTTGTGGTACACATGGCCCCATGAATTATGCAGTATATGCCTGTTGTTGCTGCTGGTGGTGGTGGTGGTGGTGGTGGAGAACAGTACAGAGACTTGGGACTGTGAGCTCCATGAGAATAGGTACTTGGTTCATTAAGCTCTTTACTCTGTTCCCAGCTCCTTTAAACAGCCAGGTTTTCAGCAATAACTATTGCATGACTAATCGAAAGAATGAATGAATCACGTCTCATTGACTCTGCAGGTGATGATCAGCTTGGCTGGAGCTGCCACCTGGTTAACTTTCCATGAAAGTTTGTAGGATGAAGGAGAGCGACACAGCACCCTGCTCAGATGGGGTGTTCTTTTAGGTCCGGATAGATCTGCTGTGGTTTTGATTCTGTGCAAAAAGACTGACATTTCACCTCCTTTAACAGCTGCCCAGTCACACAGACTGGGCTGTGCTCTGTGTGTAGTAGATGCCTCCTGTAGTAGGTCATGGTACTCAGGTTTCAAATCAGGCTGATTATTAAAGTGCGAACCTTTTATTGGGTATTATAGGGAATGCAAGCCTGGGATTTGGCTTTTAAGGGACGGGAATATCACCGTTTTGATGTCGATGTTGCCTGTTTTTAAACCCATTTTAAAAATTGAGATGTAATTGACATATAGCATTGTATTAGTTTTAGATGTATAACATAATGATTCGATATTTGTATACATCATGAAATGATCCCCTCAATGGGTCTAGTCAAGATTCATCACCACATATAGTTACAGAATTTTTTTCTTGAGATGAGAAATTTTAGGACCTTCTCTCTTAGCAACTTTTATAGGTACCATACAGTATTATTAGCTATAGTCATCATGGTGTATATCACATCCCCAGGATTTATTTATTTTGTAACTGAAAGCTTATACCTGCAACCCCCTTTACTCATTTGTGCTCCCTGACCCTTCCTGGATTCTGATAAACCACCAATCTGTTCTCTGTATCTATGAGCTCGGTCTTTTTGTTTGTTTGTTTGTTTATTTATAAGAGATCATATGGCATTTGTCTTTCTCTGTCTTATTTCACTTAGTGTCCTCAGGGTCCATCCATGTTGTAGAAAATGGCAAGATTTTCGTTTTTTTTAGGGCTGAATAACATTCCAGTAATCTCATCTTTTAAGCCCACAAATCATTAAAGGATTTATGACCTTTGCAATTAATTCTTAATTTATAATTTACCTTGGCTTCTGCTTTCCTCTTTCTGTTTTGATTTTTCTTTGTAACCACGTGTTAGTATGTCTACCAGAGATAAACTTGGGAAGAGATGAAAACCTGGTTATCATCTTCAGCTGTTGTTTTGATACAGTGTCGACCCCACCCTGGCCTCCTGTGTGGGTGTTTTCTGAATTACTTAGCAAGGTTACATCTCTTCTGATTACCTTTTAGTTTTACTTTACCTGAGGCTGACCTCATTGGTTTTATCCTTAGAATTTGCTAAATAACATGAGTTCTCACTCCTCTGCTTAAAGAAATGGTATGTGAGGTGTGTGATGGATGCACCTACTGACATACCACATATATTCTACCCTTATATACTGCATCATTTCTCCCACCAATTGTTGAAAATATTTAAGCTTTAGAGGTTTAGGATTTGTCCACTCGGACAAGGAGGGTTAACGGTATTTCCTTCCCTCTGATTGCTTTACCCAAGGCCGCCTGAACGGGACCTGGCTTCCTTTTTGTTCTGTTAGCTTCTCTTAGGTCTTCTAAGACTTCCCATATGCCACCCCTAAAACATAGAACACTTGATAAAATATTTTCACATTTACCCTGGTGCAATTTCTCGACCTCTTTATACTAGAATTGTTTCTCAACTTTGGTCACCTTTGTAAATGCTTCTGTTTTTCCTTTTTTTTTTTTTTTTTTTTAATAAAAAACGTGTTGTGCCCAGGTAGGTACTTTTTTCGTGTCCTGAATAAATACAACATTATGTTATATACAACTAAAAGAGTATTGGGGATTTGGGGGCAGGTTTTAATTCACAGAAATGTAATAAAATTATTGTATGCTTTTAGGAGCAGTAAAATCATTATTGCTACTCAGTTTGTAGTGAGTGGCTAACACTGGAAGGTTTATAGCTTTTTGATCAAAACAGAGCCCGTATCTGTAGTTCAGCCAAGCCAATCAACTCAAGTCATGTGCATAAAAAACGTTTGTTCTGGTTTTAGTTTATTTTCTCAGTGATGTGTGCTATGGAACTATGAACAGATGGTTACCTAATGACCTGAGTCTTTGCTTAAGGCATCGAACTAGTTACTCTTAAAGATATGGAAATCTTGCCTGGTCTCATGCCTGTTCCAAGGGAAACCTGATAGCATGGCTCTCATGATCTGATTAATCGATGGTTAATAAATTTAATAAGTGTGTAATTTTTGTTTTATTGGATAGAAATGTCTTTCAAGTGATTTTTTTCCCTCTAGGGAAAAAGTAGTTCATGCTTAAAATTAAAATTTTATATGGAGGTCCCACCAAAATAATTAAACATTACCCTAAAAATCACTCAAAACATTGGATTTTATTAAAACATGTTTTTACATACTTTTTAGAAATTATGGTGCTGCTTTCTCTTAGAATATGTACACTTAATTTTTTTTTCTTAATATTCTATATTTAAAGTTTTGATCCCTAAGTCATATATATTGTATTTTTAAAATCATCTCTTTTTTGCTAAGAATATTCAATGTAATTTGAATAATAAACTATTTAGAAGGAATTTGCCATTTGATAGATTCCTGGCTTTGTCTGGAAGCCTCACTGTCATAATTTATGCATAAAATCTTCTGATGTCTTCTCAGAGCAGGTTTGGCCATTTATTTCTTTGTGTTTTTCTTGCTTTTTATAAACTATTTATTTTTTTGTATTACACTTTATCTGTACAGTCAACCTGCCACATGAGACTGTAAGGTTTTTAATGTCAGGTGCTTTGACGTCAACTGAGCCTACAGTTGGCCTCTGGCAGGGACCCAATGAATGTTTGTTCAGTGAAGAACTGATGTGAAATAAATTTAGAAATATGAAATGACTTTAGCCAGTAGTAAAGCCTTAATTCCTTGATCCTTTACAAATCAATTTACCAGAACATTTAAATAATAAATAGCGGAATAAAGGTCTAAAGATGGTGTCTTCTAGAGCAATCTTTTGGCAGATGTGATTAGAACTTTGATGACTTTGTAAACACATTCTTATAGTTTCAGGCTTTTAATTCAGCATCCTGAACAAAAGAGGTTAAAAATTATAATGATTTAAGTTGAGGAAACTGATTGCACCCTAAGTAAGAGACAGAAGAGAGACAAGGGAATGAACTGCAGTCAAAGTCAGGTATCTTTTAAAACTAAGTAAAGGGTGTACACACTGAGCTAATGAAGCGAGGGGCAGAAAGTCTAATCAGAATTGTTTGAATGTCACTAGGATGTTCCATTGTGTATTATGAAGAACTGGGACTGGAGCATCACATTAGAGAGCCAGCAGTTAAAAACAACATTTTGATTTTACATTCTGCCTGATCCGGCTGCTGTTTACCTTTCTAGCTTTGCCTGAAGACCATCCTCCTCCCTGTCTGTGCTGACCCTCTACTTCTTTCACTATTCATTGTCCCTTCTCCTGCCCCCCAGTGTCCTTGCCACTCCATGTCCCTCCATGTCTTCACCACTCACTGTCCCTGTCCCTCCTCACTGTCCCTGTCCCCCAGTGCCTCCACACATGTTCCTGTGCCTGGCAGGCTCCACTGTCTGACAACCGTTCCTACACAGCTTTCCCTGACTAAGTCCTGCTCTAGATTAGGGCTCTTTAAACATCCTTGTAGCACCCCATTATTTTTCCCCTTTACTTTGAAAACAGCTATAATTCATTCATTCACTTTTGCAAACTAGATTTTGGACAATTACCTGCATAATTTAGGTGGGATGAGTGATTTGCACACATTATTTCTACAGTTTTGCCAAAAACATGTATGCACAAACACATCTGTTGGGGGAGAATTAAAAATAAATGATCTCTGTGGTTCCTGGAATGGATCATCATCAGAGAGTGATAGACAAGACCCTGGGCTCTGGAGTCTGAAGACTTGGGTTGGAATCCCGAACCCACCAATTTTGAGCTGCTTAGTCTTGGGCAAATTACTTAACCTCTCTGTGCTTTGCTTTTCTGCTGTACAAAATGGGGTTAATAATAGGATCTGTCTTTTCTGATCGTCGTGATTTTTTGAATGAGGTAGTTCACGAGGTGCTTGGCACACAGCCCGAGACATGGTGAGCCCTGCCAGTCATTGTCATCTCTTCATGCTAATTCCTGTCTCCTGCACCTTTGTCCTTTATCAGGTGCTAACTCTGTAGGGCATAGTGCTACATGGCATCTGGGTTTCCGTTTTCTTTGTAGGGACGTTTCCTCTCAGGTACTATAGTTACCTCTGATTTAGCTGGCAGATGTGATTTAGCTGTTTACCTTTCTAGCTGCCATTCTCTTACTCTGCCATTCTCTAGAATATTCCACTCCTGCTTCCAGAATTGTGATGTGTGCTCTTCTATAAAATAGCATCATTGATCTCTGCTGCTTTTTTTTTTTGGCGGTCTAACTTTTGGAGTATTAACACTCAGATCTGTTTTTCCTGACAGCTGGCAAACTTCCCTAGACTGTGCGAGGAAACGGAGAGGATCGTGGCTAACCACATTCGGGAGCGGGAAGGGAAGACCAAGGACCAGGTGAGGAGGGGCCTTCCCTGGCGGCCAGGGGCCTCAGGGGGGTGGAAGTTCTCCCCGAGGAGGCCTATTGGCCTCCACCTGGCTGCCACTCCGATGGCAGAAAGAATAGCTGAGAACACAACCACATATGTTTATTTTTACTTATTTATAATTTTATACACATGTTGCTGTACTAACATCTTGCGTATGTTAAGAATATAAACAAATACAAAGACTTTAGAAGGATGCAATTTAAAACACAGTAATAGGAATTCTATTATTTTTTCTCAGCGCCCTGTAGATCATCATGGGTACCCCTAGCTTGTATACAGCCCACGTTGAAAACCACTAATCCAGATTCAGAGCATGTTTTTTCTTTAAGACAGGGTTTTTTGACTTTTAATCGGCCCACAGATGGGGGCCAAGATAGTCATAAATTCCTAAAATGTTATGCAAAATGTTCAGTGTTCTGATTTTCTTTTTCTGAGGGTAATGGACAAAGCTGTTCATCGGCATACCCAGGGATCCTTTCACTGAAAAATAAAAACTTAAAATAAAAATAAGAACAGGTCCTTTAAACATTGCTAACTATTTTGTAAAAGAATATGTTTTGTAAGGAGCGATCTTGAAATTGTCTTCCAATCCCAGCTGGCTCTGTAAATCCAGAGGATTCTTTTCAAGTGGCGATAACTCATTAAAAAAAGGGAAAGACTCCATGAAGATAAAAGCTTCTAAAACTTAGGTGGATTTTTTTTCTTAGTTATTTATAAGACATTATAATGGGAAACACGAAGCTTTTCAGATGCTCAGCGACACCAGGACACAGCTGTGGGTGTGACAGCAGGGAGAGGGCCCTGGACTTGGGCGTGTGTTCTCCACAGAGTCACAGCTTGTCCTTGTCAAATCCCTCTCAGGACCTGTTTTCTTGTGTACAGCACTGGGGTGTTGGCCTATGTGGTCTCTGAAATCCTCCAGAAGTTAGAATTCCAAGATTTTGTGATTCTCAGGTGAGTTGGAAAGGAGGAGAGAGATAACTGGGGAAGAGGAGGAAGGCAGAATAAAAGAGAGAGAGAGACAGACCACGGAATAGGTGCAGCCGAGGGGGGGTGGAGGTGGAGGGACAGCGCAAAGGGCCGGGGCTGGACGCCTAGCGTGTTGGGATGTTGCTGAATGACTCCAGCAGCAACCTGCTCTCTGCCTGAGCTATGGATTCATTGCCCAAGTTAATTAACCGTTATTCATAGTTTTCACTTGTTTTCCAACTTTGACACCCCTGGAGAGCCAAAAGTGGAGCAAATAGGCGTCGTGACTTAGGGATAAACAAATCAGTGTTAGCTCATGAACCAGTGAAACAAGCCCAGATATGTCACCCAAGGCCCGAAGCTCCCCCACACCTCGTATCAGGGGTGCTGCCTGACCAAGAAGACTAAAGTTCTAGTATCAGTGGCACTCCTGACCTTAAGTAAATCGATAACCATTTTAATTTAGTGTCTTCATTCTAGAAAATTTAAATGATAACATATCCTACGTAGCTCCTCCCTAAGAAAACAATCTGGAGGGCAAAGTAGCTTCATTATCATCGTTGTGTTCATATCCAAGTGAGTTGTTAACGCCTTCCTGTTTCATGGAACGTTGTTCAGACCGTGGGCTCTGGGTCCCCACGGCCTGAGTTCAAATCCAGCCCTCCCACTTACTTTCTGTGTAAACCAGCACAATAAGGGGGAACCTTCACACATTGGTTTCCTCACCTTCAAGTGAGATCATGACGGTAGTTAACTCGCAGGCATTTTGTGAGCACGAGACTCAGTAACCCAAACGTGGTTGCAGCTCCCCATTCCTTTTAGTTGTTTTTCCCGAAGAGCTGTGACACAGAGCAGGCATGAGGAAGAATGACCTTTCCTCCTTTCAAGAGAACCTGTCTTTCATCTGCAACTCTGATGTGCTGATTAATCAACTTCCCAAGAAGGAGATGAGATGGGGCAGGTGTCTCCTCCTAAGTGACCCTCTCAGGTGGGGTGGCCTAAGGAAGCTGGTACTTGCCACCTCTAGCATGGACCTGTGTGGAAACGCGCTTCATTTGAGCCGTGCGAACATGTCTGCTTGCACAGCTTTCACATCTGCGTTCTGCATGTTGTGCTGCCTTGGGCCACATGCTGCTTCTGAAGTCACCAGCCGAGTGACCAATATTCTCAGGCCTGTTTGGAGGTGTTCTTGCAAGGTTTTTTTAAAAAAATAGAATTATTACAGACGTCTACTCTGGAAGCTTTGTGGGAGGAAAAATTCTTTAAAATTAAAAATATGGAAACTCATAAATCAGTCTGTGAATTTTTTTTCTAAAACAAAGGGCTTTTGAGTATCTGTGTGCGCCTGCGATTATTCCAGGTGCTCCCAAGCATGAGATTACGTGTTGAAGTGGGCGGCTTTGTGGGCGACGGCTGCCCCAGGGGTAGCTTTACTTTTCTTCAACCCCATGCTCAATATCTAGGGGTGAGAAAGGCACTGAGAAACCCTGAGAGAGAAAAAATGAGAAAAAATGTACTCTTTTCATCCCCCATATGTGACCTGGCTCTTTTCCTAGGATGAACACAGACTCCCAGTTTCCAGGAATATGAATGAGAACAGCCATAGTTTTTATTTTTTCCACTTTTTTTTTCCTACACTGCAGTCCAAGTTAATGTGCAAGAACATCCAAGACATTCCTGACAGCCCTTGGCAGTGCTGAGCATTATGTAGATATTTTGCTCTTTATGTTGGTAACAATTGACTTGTGCTCCAATGTGATGGTTTATTCATGCACACTCCTGGCCAAGTGGGTTTGGGAGTCTAACAGGACTTGGGTTTAGTATAGGGACAGTAGAGGCACTACCACAGATAACCCAGTAAAGATCATTCTTCCGAATGCTTCAGTTTCTTCATTAACAGGAGAAGCCAAACTGTCTGATGACAGGCAACTTTTTCATGCAAGTGTGATGTTATTGGCCCAATAGCCCTGACTTTATGTTTGGGAGTGAGGATGGGTTTGGGGTGACCCACTTACTCCTTTTGGAACGTCCTCTTGGGACTCACAGCAAGATTTGGTGAGATGACTGGTTGAGATTCCCCACAAAAGCAGAGCCTCGGAGCCCACGGCGGTGGGTAGTGCATGAGAAACCATGGGCCTCAGACTAATTATATGGGAATAAATTGTGCCCTTGAAAACAAGCTGTTGTTCAGAGCTTGGGGATAGTTATAAAATTTACAGCCACAAGGATTTATTGGACACCTGCCATGGGTATTGTGCTAGGTTCTGGGGATCAAGTGGTGAGCAAGACACATGTAATCTCAGCTTCCATGAAGCTGATGGTCCCACAGGGATGAAAAACAGCAAACAGAATAGACAAGTGATTGATTATATTGGTACCAAACACCACAAATACAAAGTGTAGGGTGCAGTATATGTAAAATATGACACATAGGCTACATGAGAGTAATGACACGATCCAACCTGGTGTTGGACCAGGGTGTGGGGTGAGGATCACGGAAGATGTCTTCCCTAAGGATGTTCCCATGGGGCAGCAAGTTCATGACATAGTTGATGAACTTGACCATGATTGCTCAGATGCGCTCCAATGTCACCTTCAGCGAGGCAGCATGAGACTACTCATCAAGGTCATTTAAAGTTCATTCAACAAAGTCCAAGTGTGAGAGCTCTGGAGGTACACAGGCAGGGATTCTTAAGTGGTTTTCCCCATCAACAAACCTCAGCTTTCTGGGAAGATGGGGGACTGTTGGGAGAGCAAAAGGGAAACTTAGGAGGGGGAGCCCAGTTTGGAGTAACTCTGGAATAAAGCTCTCTTGCAGTTTCTACTTGCCCCACCCTCTTCTTGTTCTAAGTCTTCTTGTCCCCCACTGAAGAATATTTTCTACAGAGGAACCTTCCAAATCTTGGACTTAGAGTTTATATAAGTATCTTGTGATCAGTACATTTTCATGTTTACTGAAACATGTGTCCAGTTCATTCCTTGACACATCTTGGTTAGATTCACATGTATTTCAGGCTCCGTTCTAAGCCCTGGGATATAGTAGTGGCTACAGCAGATGGGGTCCATAAAATCTATTTGTAAAAACTTCTTATGTCAACTAGTGGTTGTGCTACAAAAGGAAAATGAGTTAGAGACACAGGACAGAGGGTAAGAAGAGCGCTAGTTTAGACAGAACAGGCCAGGAGGATCCCCCGATGTGGTGATCTTTTAGCAGAGAACTGACTGAAGTTTTGTGTTGATGATGAAGCTTATTGGTCTCAAGAAGGCTTTCTATTTACTTGTATATTGCGTTTTTGAGTTAGTCAATGAGATGCTTCTGCTTGCCTCCAGGGAGCTTAACAAGATAGAAGAGGAGAGTAAAAACGGGAGAGGATATTGCTATTTCAGGGCGAACATATGGTGTGTATGGGAGCAGGAAGCTGTGGGCAGCCCCTTACTGGCCTTCTTGCCACGTGTCCTTTTATACATGTGTGTCCTTTTACACACGTGTGTCCTTTTTTTCAACATTATGCCTACATTTTAGAGGAAGAGAATTAATCTAGGTTCTGTGTTAATTTGGCTAAGAGTGCATGCCTAGCAACTATAATGCTATTGTCTTCTTGTGGGAATCAGACTTTTCATGTAGATTTCCAATATCTAAACTTAGAGTCAAAATTATGAGTCTAATAAAAAAAATGAAGGCACCTTTCATTCTCACTGAAGCATCCTTTAAAAATTCAATGAAGATCATTTGTGGGGAATTGCTGACTTTAGCGTTTGAGAATATTTAAGATGGGTTTCACTGAAGTGTTTCTCTTTGACTTACAGGTACTGCTATTGATTGACATCCAAGTCTCCTACATCAACACCAACCACGAGGATTTCATTGGCTTTGCAAAGTAGGTGAAAGACTTGATTGCCACATGCATTCCCCTTACTGGTCTGTGTAGAACACACACTATGAATTTCTCCTACAACCCCACCACCTCTTGAGAGTGCATTCTGTGTCAAGGTTAACTCTGAGCCGACCTGTTAGGGAGGTATGAGCCTCATGGCCGCTTCTCTCCATAAAGCAGTCGGCTCCTTGGTTGTGCAGTGTGTGGTCACACGTGTCTTAGATACTCATTGTTTTTGGATGGCCATCTGCAGTTTGTACTTGAACTCCCATAGATAAGCAGTAACAGATGCACATTTAAAAATATGTTTGGGAACAATTTCTCACATTAATTTGAAATAGCAAGTGAGGTTCACAGGGTACAGCTATTTCAACATCCCCCAGTTAGAATATAGAGGACTATTTTTTTTTTTAAACTGTCTTTTGTGAACTTTGATATAATTTGGGAGGTGAACATTCTCTTTTCTATAATGTGTATCTTATATATTATAAGCTTGTCTCTGTGTGGCTATTTTTATCATACATGTATTTTGTTATATTCTTAAAAATGTTTTTATTTATTGATTGATTTTTGACAGAGAGAGAGATCGATCTGTTGTTCCACTCACTTATGAATTCATTGGCTTATTCTTGTATGTGCCTTGACCTGGAATTGAACCCACAACCTTGGCACATCGGGACAACACTCTAACCAACTGAGCTACCCACCCAGGGCTCGGTGTATTCTAATATTCTGTCACTACATTCACGGATATCACTACGTAAACATTAGGCTTAGTTAGTCAGGGCTGGTTATTTGTGTGGCATTTTCAAGACCCTGAGAGCATTCACCGTTTTTTTCTGCCCTAGAGTGGAACCAGTTTTTGTTTGCTTTTAAGGAGTTTTGATTCTAACTCTAAAATATAGTTGTGGCATGTGAATATTTCAAATTTCAAGTATATAGAATATAATCTCTTCTATATAAAATTAAAGGGGGCTATGGTCTAGAACCGTGTATTCAAGAACAGGGACGAATGAAAACTACAACACAACAAAATGTAAAACCAAAGTATTACAATCCGACTGAAAAGATACAGAATGTAAATCATGTGATCAAGACTAAACCCTGGCCTGAGGAACTGACATGTTTTAGGGAGGAAAGGCCCAATGACCCAACAGCAAACTGTCTCATTGTAAACTTGGCTGTAGTTGTGATGCTGAACCGACCGTGCACGTGTGCTTTGAATCCAGCGGCTGCTACTGCTGTATGTTAGATGTTTCTCCTCCACTGTTTTGTCTGTGACCTGTGCGTGGAGTTGTTAGAGCACCGTGTTGAATGTGTTCCTACCATCAGTTGTCTTTTTAGCCACACTGGCCACTCCGACTCCTAGAGATGTGTTTGCTCCACAGGCATTTCACACAGACCGGCCCCCTCTCTTCAGCCCAGATGGCTCCCACTGTCCCCACCATCCCCACCTCTCATTTCCTCCTGCAGGTCACCTGGGAGAGGGACTGAGACTCTTTGATGCCTCTCGTCCCTGGTCCTGGAAGGCAGGACCTGAGAATTTCTGCCTGGTTTGCAGCACAGTCTGTGACTGCCTTGTGGCCTGTGCCAAGCTCTCCACTTCTTGGGGGAAAAAATACAAGAAAAAGAAAGAAAAAAAATTATTTTTGTCTTTTAGGAGTTTGCCTAATAATTGAAAAATCTAGAGAAACACATGTAACATTTTAAGTTGGCACATTCTCCATTTCCTTCCCTTGCTTCCTTGAGGAATTGAAAAGAAAAACAAATCCTGGAGTCATTTTAAAGAACAGGAACACTGCCTTTGGAGGTGATTTTTATTGATGACAAACACCAGTTAGATGTCAATGTAAACTTGAGCCCATAACTTGACAGTGAAAGGGATGTCGCCACGGCACCCTGTTGTGGTCTCCCAAGCCAAGGAGAAAATGTAGGAAAAGTCAGAATCCATTTGGGAAAATTCAGATTTTGAACACATTTTGTAACCAGTGCTACATTTTAAATGTCAGCCTAGACTCTGGTTGAAACACTTTTTCTTGAATATTCTTTTCTTTTTTTTTAAAGAGCAATGATCCGGAGTTTACCTTCCCCAGTAAATTTCAACATTTTCTACCTCAGAAGCTGTTAGACTATAGCATTATATTCAGTAGGTTTTCAAAGGCATATAGTATTGCAAATGTAAACACTTTCAGACGCAGCCTTATGGCGCAGTCTCTGGAATCCGGGCTACCGCCCCCATTTTTCCAGCCCAGAGATAGACTATGAGCTGTTAGGATGTTGGGGGAGAAAAAAGAAGCCTTGTTCAGACCACTTTAGAAGTCGAGCAGCTCTGCACATTTCTCATCGAGTTGAAACTCACACCTGAACTTCACTTTTTGAAGGCCTGCTCTGGGAGTCAGCAGTGGGATTAGTTTTCCAGGGTTTGCCGCGGATGAGCCTTGGGTTTTGCCAAGTCGCTTAGCCTTTCTGTAGCTCAGTTTACTGCTCTATCAAGTGGAATAATAAATAATCCCTGGACGTATACCTTTTAGGATTGTCAGGAGATCAAATTAATGAAGTGTTGTGAAACTGCTTTTGAGAACTGTGGTGTAGTCTGTAAAAGTGAGAAAGTGCCATATGTACACACTCACACAGACACACTCTCACACAGACACACACAGATATACATACACACTCACACTCACCCACAGACACAGAGACACTCACACACAGACATATACACAGACACACTCACAGATACACTCACACAGTAACACTCACCCACAGACACACACACACATATGCACACTCACAGACACACAGACATATACAGACGCATACAGAGATAGACACAGACACACACACTCACACATACAGACACAGAGGAATTTGCTTACTAGATGCACCATTTTACTTTGCTATGAAATTGATAATTATTGGGGTATGATTGCCACTAGGATATTTTTAGACACCAGTGTCATCTCCAAATGTGACATTTTGCACTGAGACTCAGAAGTAGCTGTCCTTTCCTTTTGTACGCTGAGCTGGAGTACTTTTCACAGTGACGTAAGATAATTATGAAGATGAAGAAATGTTCATTTCATAATTAGTTTGAGGGGTTGTGGGATTTTTTTGGTGCTTTTAAAAATTAAAAAAATACGGTTGTAGCTATAAATTTTAAAGTTGGCAGGAATGCTGTTTCCATCAAGGAAGAAAAGTCAAGCCGTACTTGAAGATGATTATGTAAGTATTTTTAAGTTCCAGAGAGAGAAAAATTAAGGTCTGAAGTTGAGGAAAATGAGAATTTGTCTCATCAGCTTTTAGAGATTTGTCAGAAGAGGGGGACCACCTATCAAGTTTATAGAATGGTGATGTATGTAGTATTTTACATATGCATTTTCTCAAACTGGGACAACTTTTTGTTCTAAATTTTTTTTTAGAAGAAAACATAGCGCTAAAAGTAGATGAATGGAATGTGAATTCTCAGAGTAGTGGTCAGAACACCTCGAAATTCTTCCATCTGCTCTAGCGTTTACTCTGCCATGTTGAATACGTGGAACATTTTTCCCCATCTCCCAGCTATTTGTTACACACGGACCGTAAAATATGTACCATGTGTCATGGGTCCAAGTTAGTGCTGCTGCGGGCTTGCTGTGGAATTTCCTGATTTCTGAGAGCTTGATCTTTCAACCATAATACAGTTTCTGAACCTCAACTATGATATAGTTTCTGAACCTAAAAGTCCAGTCTTCCAGAAGAAAATGTGAGCTTTCCTCATGATTTAAGGATTTTAATTTGTCATTGTTCCTTGTTTAAAAAAACAACAACCCCATGCTCTATTTTTTTTTTTTTTAACACAATGTAACTAGTGTATGGTATTTAAGAAAACAAGAGCTACTCCAGTCATTCCTTCAGTCATTTCCCCTCTCTCAATAATCCTGCTCTTGAAATAGGCCAACAAGCTTTTGTTAGCTGAATGCCTTGGGAGGTGACTTCTCAGATTCTTCTGCTCTTCTCCATTTGTCCCGTGGGCAGGATTTTTAATTTCTGACTTTCTGAAACATCTGCAGTCCAGTAGCTCACGGGCAGTTCAGGCTCCAGGTAGGAACCGGTAGACTCATGTCCCGATGACACCAGCCTCAGACTAAGGTCTGGTTTTCCATCTGCGGAGTAGGTCCCAGCACCTGTTTTCTCACAGCCGAAACAGCACAGTGGAAAGATTTCAGTGCTGGTTATATGAGCACCATGAAAATCCTGCGGGTAGTGACATTCGTGATATCTCTTTCCTCATCCTCTGGAATGCCTGTTGCCATTTGCCTGAGGCAGTATATGTGATCCTTGGCCCCAAATTCCAGGGCAGTCCTTCACAGTCTTTATATATTCTTCCGTAATGTGTAGTCCCATTCTACTATAACAGTGTTTCTAGTTTCTGTTCTTACACTAGAATATTTTCTCTCCTGTGGAATCAAAACCTGGGTCTTAGATCAAGATCCTTCTTTTGTCGTATACGCAGATTTAGGAATTAAATGCTTGGTGGCTTACTGTCTTTCTTCCCAGGTGGAAATACAGGGTTGAGCACCTTGCCAAGGACATTCCGGAAGCGTGTCGCCCCTTTCGGTAAATTTTACGTCCCAGTGTTCCAAGCACCGTTTTAAAAATAAGTGGACTTGTACTGTTCTCTTTCATCCTCAGAGCTGTTATTTTGAACTTCATCTTCATCCTTAAAAGGGGCCTTCGGAGATGAGCCACCCTTCCTTCATACAGCCCCAGGTCCTAGAGGGTTTTCTTATGAAATATTCTCCCTGAGACATCACTAAGGACCCTGCAGGGGAAATGTAGCTTTTCTCCCTTCAGCTTCAATCTCATTGGAAGAGCCAGGTCTGCATGTGATAAGTCGCACTCGGGACTCTCAGCAAGTGTTTATAATATCCTTGGGGTAATAAAAGAACATTCTAAAAGAACTTCTTTAGTCCAGAGCAGTGCCATCCAACGCACTCTCTGAGATGATGGAGATATTTTCTATT